CTGTAATAGACGTCCAAATGACGTCCAAAAAATTACCAAGTTCAAAGGTCAAATGTTGAACGTCAAGAGGACGTCCAAGTTAGGTCATGGTTGGACGTCCAAATAGTGGACCTAGTTTGGACGTCGAATAGACGTCCAGAATTGGTCATGGACCGACGGACCCAATATAGACATGATTTGTACGTCTATCCGACGTCCAATGTTTAGTGGGTAGGCAACCTGTGTCCTTGGAACAATCTGACAGCAGTTAGCCTAAACAAATCAATAATTAGACATAACGGTGGGATCCTACTAGAGCGGCGAAAAACATTCAGAAGCCTCGTTACCTTTGACTTAACACCGGAACAGCTGATTTTCAAGCATGCTGTGCCCTTTCCAGCGATGCAGACGAAAATCAGCTGTTCCAGTATTAAGTCAAAGGGAGCGAGGCAGGCGTCTGAATGTTTTTCCTGCTCTAGTGGGATCGCGCTGAATAGGTCATAATAATTATATCGGGTATACGTTGGCTCACGGTCGGCGATCATGTCGGGTATACGTTGGCTCGCGGTCGGCGATCGTTCTAAAACCACCGTCTTCCCAATGTCTTGCCGATTAGCTACCGATCTCCATAAGACATCTTACCGAGGCACTTTATGTCGGGCAGCCACGCGCGCCCCAACGTCGGCACGATCTAATTTGTTGTCTGGGAAATGTATTCAACAGTAGCCTATATAATATACAGTATTGCATTACTATAGGATAGAATAAGGGGAAAGTAATAGCACAAATTGTTTTTGCACAATGAACTCACAGCCTATCGTACCCTTTTGCACGCTCAAGTTCGTTATTTCCATGGTTATTTCAAATTTAGGCTACTAGGCGCGCCGCGCGCAGGGTGCAAGTTCAACGCGGTAAACGCGCTTGTTTTTTTTTCCCAAGCGCGTCCGCACCGCATCAAGATAAAAACATATTCATACCCTAATCATATAATAGTTTCACTAACGTTACATTAGATCTGGCTAATAATGGCACTGTTACAGTAGGTCATCTAAAAACATAACGGAACACTTACCTCAGCCGCAGGTGATACTTGTCCTGTCTGTGCTATCGATGGGATGGCCGTATCCTTCAGCACATTATGGTCCGTGTGGCAAATTCCATTTTTTCAAAATAGTCGTCCTCATTGAAATGTACCGAGCAAACATGTCCCTTGATAATCTTAGGTGTGTTTGGATAAATATCCAGAGTAAGTTAGCCATTTCTTCATCCACCCTTGTCAAAAAATCCTATTGGAATTTCATTGGATCTTAATGGATTCCAATAGGATCTTATTGGATTCTTATAATCCTATTGGACATTCTGATTTATTTTAATGGAATTTCAGTTTGTCATGTAGGATCTTACTGGATTCTTATTGGATCTTAATGGATTCTTATAATCCTATTGGACATTCTGATTTATTTTAATGGAATTTCAGTTTGTCATGTAGGATCTTACTGGATTCTTATAGGATCTTATTAGAGTCTTCTAATCCTATTGGACATTCTGATTTATTTTAATGGAATTTCAGTTTGTCATATACCTTACTGGATTCTTATAGGATCTTATTGGATTCTTAGAATCTTTCATTCTGATTTATTTTCATGGAATTTCAGTTTGTCCTGTAGTATATATTTTTAAATTCTACATCATTTCTGTACATTGTGCTGCTTTTCCAGGTAATTACAATTATATATTATAAACATTTATGCAGAAAGATCATTTTAATTATTTCAATTCAGAAATTATATACATTATAGATAGATAGATTCATAAATAAAAGAACATAAATACAATTTAGGTAGAATATGTCATATAGTCGACACAATAAACGTATTTATTTACACTTTCAGGAACATCATTAAATATTAAATACTGTATAAATTAAATATATAACATTCAAAATTAAATATATAATATTAAATATTATAAGCATTTATACACCAAGATCGTTTTAATCATTTCAATTCAGAAATTATATACATAGATAGATTCATAAATAAAAGAATATAACAATTTGTATAGAATGTTATAGTCCATACAATAAAAGGATTTATTTACACTTGCAGGAACATGCAGCTCAGTTAAAAATACTCAGCCATCAGCTGATCTCAATGCTAGGCCTATGCATTAGTCAAGCTCTATGCTGTTTGGCTGTAATGCAATATAGCATGTTTTTTTCAAGCAAATGTGCACAACTTTGCGGACAATTTCCATGGGTTTTACAATCATACGTGTTGGAGTTGGCATCACTTCTTTTATATGGGAAGGAGATCCTTCAGACACAAAACCAGCAAGTGTGGTTTGTAAAAGCTGAACTTGGATGAGCGGATTGTTTTTGTGATCATGTATGATATTTACAATTGACTCAATTTTTCCAATGCAACCATTCTGTAGCTGAACAGTAAAACTGTTGTGTTTGTACTCTTTTCCATATTTCTCTGTCGTTAACAGTTGTCCATTCACAATTGCTCTCTCATATGTCTCTGCAGAGTACTCATCACTTTCAGATAGATCACAGACTGGGAGCATTAAGAACTTCTCTTTGTGATCTAACATTTTTTGTCGAGAACATCCCAGCAAAACAAGACCTTCTAGCTTTTGTGCCTTGGCAACAAGAGGATAAACACCTAGCCAGTCATTGACAAGTTTTGCCACCCTATTTGAGACATCAGCACTAGTCGTTGTTTCTTTAAGTAGTTGGGGAATTGACTGAAGTATGTTGAATTGGCGTGCAATTTGAGATGGGATAGAATTTGTTCCATGACACAACCTCTTCAGTTTCTGGTTGTGACCCTCAAATGAAAATGCAGATGTACACCAAAGAGGTCCATACATCTTGACAGAGAAGGGCAAATGAGTAAGTTGATGGACATTGAAGGACATTTGACACAAGCCATATATCGTTGGTATCTCCTGCACAAACTTTGTGATCTTGGATGTTGCTGCTGCCAAGTCATTTTCTGTGACAGTGTCTTTCAGAAAGCAAAAAATGGCAGTGACCAGAAGGAGCCAATGTTTCAACATTTTTGTTGGAAGAATCTTGTACAGAACAGGACCACTGTAGAATAATAGCCAGCTTCTGCATTCTGCAGCCTTCCACCTTTGCGCAACTTTCACAGTCCGTGGTATTCTTGGTATATCAGATGGAGGTTTGATGGTAAGCAGCCTTTGATCAACAAGCTTATGTGATGTCCCAATGTACCAAGGGCTGTCATGGTACTTGCTATTGAACCACAAGTCCAAGAATTGCTTTGTCACTCCCAAGAGAACACAGTGCATGTAGTCAATTGGAAAGCTGTTCACAATGTCAAATCCAGTAGAGGGATTCAGGAGGACTAATGGTGATACTGACTTCACCCCAAACACATGGTCAACATCATTCTCAATGGCCCTCTGCCCACATTCAATGACATGGTCATGGGTTCTTTTCTGTGCCTCAGTGGGTGGATAGACTCTGGCATATCCTCTTCCTTTTGGCACTGTTTTCCCTTCATTTAAGCAATGTCCACATCCATATGCACCATTGAACTGATGTATACATTGAAGCATACATCGGGCTACTGCGTCACATGAGCATACGATAGGGAAAACTTTAGACACCACAGTTCTTTTTGAATGTGGGTGTCTCCATTCCAGACCTTTTGAATTGATTTTTAGAATGTCATCCACAAATTGCTTAAGGTAGATGGACATGTCAGGTTTACCACGCCCAAACCAGACACCTGCGAGTATCATGTTTTTGAAACGAACATTTGGTTGGAGTTCATTTATTACACATCTGATGGGCCACAATGAGAAAGCTGAAGATTTAAACATTGGAATGCCATCACAGTTCCATAGTAGTGAGATGTCATTCACTGTGAAATTAGGGAGTGTTTGATACATTTCACCCTTTCTCACATCATTTATTCCATATTCTTCTGATTCAAATGCACTATCATCTTTTTGTAGGATGTCTCTTAGCTGGTCCTCGATAGAGAGACTTATATAAAAATTGCCTTCTGCAATATTCTTTTTTGGGTCGTTTATCTCATTACACTCTGGACAATGCATGTTGTTCTTTGAAAGATATGTTTGGCAAATGTTGCAGAACAGGTGAACATTTAGAGACTCGGATGGATTATGGAATATTTTTCGGAAGAGGTGGAGAGACTCTGGCAATATGTTGCTACTCGGGAGAAAGACATTTAAGAGCTTTAAAAGGTCTTCCACAGCACTTGCTGTTAAACTGTGCCTCAGAGAGAAGGACAAAATTAGAACCATTGCCTGTGCAATTGTTATCTCTGAACCTGTGTAAAGAGGGGCACCAGATTTTTCAAATTGTGAATTTGAATCAGAATTTGTTTCAGCAGTGTCATCCATTGTAGAGTCAAATTCTCCCTGAGTGTCACTCCACTCATCTTCACCATGGTCCATTTCATCAACAGAATCATAAAATTCCTCCTCGTCTTCCTCACTGTCTGCAGGGGATTCATTCTGATGGGTAAGATCATCCCAGTTGTTTTGAGGAGTGTTGTTTGTTCGCCATCGACTTGTCTTTGGAAGGGGGCAACTCGATTCTGGATCCAAAAATCTAGTAATATGATCAAAGACTATTTTAACAAGTGACAGTGCAATATGAGATATCATTTTTATTTAACCCTCTGGTACTTTTCAGTCATTTTCGTGTTTTGAAGTTGTTCTATTTTTACTTCAAGTATATTTGTATAGCGCTTTTCACAATATAAATTGTATCAAAGAAGCTTCACAGTATCAATAAAAAGCATAACAATGTTCATTTCTTAGTTGAAAAATCAAAATGGTACAAAGCTTTGTGATTTTTTGGCACTTGTTGCAGTAAAATACACAAATAATTATGTAAATAACTGAACATTGTAGATATAAACTAGTTTATGAAAAATAGTTTATGAAAAATAATAACATTAATATTTTAAATTTACTAATTAATTATTTCAAATGTTTTGAATATCTATACTCAGCTTCAAGCTGTAAAAATAGGGTACCTTTTGTAAGGGCCTCGTTGTTTTACATTCATTTCAATGTGGGTATCTTCTTGTTTAGAGGAATCATTTGTGGTCACTGTTGTGGAAACATTAAATATGTGTATAACATACTGCATGTGAATAATAATAATGATAATAGTACAAAATCTTGGCGTTAGAAAGTCAACATAATAAAAACTGAATGGAAAATAAGTTGTATATTCATTCAAAGCACCGCCCCCTACTCACATTGGCATGAACATTCAATTGCGCATGCGCATCCTTGCTCACCGGCAGTGGCACTGCAGCGCAACGGTGACGGTCAGAGGAGACGATCGTTATACTTTCGTGAAGACGACGAGCTGTGACGAACAATCGTAAGTAACATATTTTAAAGTTTCTTTATATTAACATTTGACACAATCTAGAAATATTTATGTGTAAACCTGCCTAAATTTTTTTTCTTAACATTTTAAGACTTGTGTGGTCAGTTAGTCATCTGCTTTTCGCTATATAATTATATAATGTTCAGCGGTCTTACATTTATCAACTACTTACATCATACGTAGAAACTTTTGAGCAGATATACACCATATGTAGAAACTTAAGTAATTTCTTAAACGTTATTTTTGTAGCTAACATCAACAATGGGCTTCATCAGTGACTGTCGGTTAACTTAGGCCTCGGACGTACGTTACGTTTCTGTTGCTGGTTGCTTAGTGACAGTTTTAAACATCATTTTGGAGGGAAATTACCCTTATCTGTTCTAAATCCACTATAAAAATCGCAATATACACGAGAAATAACTTGTGTTCTTGGACCTTGGCTTGAACATATCTCTCCTAAAAGCAAGCAGTTGTCGTAATGTACGAGACTCGCACAGGCACGCAACTACACGGCTAGATCACCGGCTGGTGCGTAGCCTGATTGAGGTCCAGATCGAACAAAACTTTAACAAGAGATTAATACATCTATAAAACATTAATTTCTTTTTACATTAAACATTAAAGCATATTATATTTGGATAAACACTCTTTGTTACATATCAAACGCATATAATTGACAGAATATTGTCTATTTTCTTTTTATCCTATTAAGAAAATGAGGTTTATGTTAATCCAGTGGATTGAAGATCCCCCAACATGGGATGTGCTTTCAACTGATAAAATTATTAATGGAAAGTGTGAGATTGGTGGTGTATGTGATGTCCAGTACGAGGAAGAGTCCAGCCCTGCAAAAATTCTAAACATTGGTAAGTGTTTTTTTGTAATATGTCTGTGCACTACTGTGATAAAATCGATGCATGTTGTGATAATTAGTTATCATTTCAGGAACTAGATCGGCCATGCTTAAGCAGCTTCATTCTGTAGAGAAAAATCAGTCCATCAAACAATCCAGACCTGAAGGGAATGAAGAATTAGGGAGAGGGAGGCGCCAGAAGTATAGAAGAATACTTTCTGAATCAGAAAGCAGTGACGAATATGAGGTAAATTAGGATGATGTGGTTTGTGGTAACCCTAACACCATTTTGTCTAATATCTAACACAATAATAACTCCTTGTTTATTAAATATAAAAAGTGCTGCAGTAGATCCATTTCATTTTTAGCACCAAAACTCTGGAACAGTCTTCCTAATATTTTCCAGGAAGCAGACACACTCTTTCAGTTCAAAGCTAGACTAAAAACACATCTCTTTGCCCTAGCATACACATAACACATTATAGACTTCTATAATTCAATGTTAGGCTGCATAGATTAGGTCAGCCAGAACAGGGAACACGTCCCTTAAATCCTGATGTACTCGTTACATCATAAGAAGAATGGCATCCGAAGGACAAGCACATGACATGACAATATGTAATGTCGAAACCTGATAAGCTACTGTTGCTTAGACCCAGATAATTGCCACTATCAGCTAATTTGAAGGTTATATTTGTAATTGTACAATTCTCATTTATTTACAGGCAGTCAGTAAACAAGTTTCTGAAAAAAACATCAAAAGAATAAGAGCCAGATCCTTTCTGCATCAGTATAATCGAGAAAAAGTAAGATTATTTCAACAAAGTTACATATATCAGGGCTCTAGACTAGGGATGTCAATTTACATAAATTTGCATGATCGATCGTCGTTTAAATTAATGATTAGGGCTGACTTCTAATAGTCGAGGATTCGACGATTCGATTCGGAGAGGTCTGATTCGACTATGAACGTTGTAGTCAAATAGTACACGGCCTGTTCAACCTCGTATAAATCAGGTTATGTGTGTCTCCCGCTCACGACCACTCACTCTTAACAGACACAGACACACTGTCCCCGGCACTGCTCGCGCGTCACGTTCATAAAGCGCTCCCCATTCACAGTAACCCGGTCGTCTCATTCAAAATAGCCAGCCGTTGCGATCAGCGACCCGCCGCACATTGAATAGGCCTACTCAGGCTGCGAATGTAAGTTACGTGCTCGCCCCAGCGCGCTCACACACAATAAACGCCTCACCTCCGGCGCCGTGCACTCGCTATATTCCCAGCACATCTAGTGGATGCATAACGCAAACCCAGTCAAACGTTTGACTGCAGTATCTTATGCGCCTCATAATCCGGTGCACCCTATGAAAAATGTTCTAAAATAGGTCATTCATTGAAGGTGCGCCTTATTTAAAGTGCGGAAAATACAGTATAGCCTACATGCGTTTTATATTTAGCCTGAAATAGACAGGCATTCAGGCATTCAAGTTTTAGGAGGAAAAATTTTTTTTTTTGTAATTCTGTGAATTACACTGCTCAAATCAGATGAGGTAGGGTTGGCTCTCCACAAAACATAAAATATTATTTTTCATGTTCACAGAGGAAAAAACAATGTTACAGACGTGACAGTTCTCCGACGGACACAAGCTCTCTGAAGCAGCACTTAAAGACTGTTTTAAAACTTTCACAGACCTCAAAAAAAGCAAAAAGCCTTTCTTTAAAGTGAATTTAAAGCGTTTTTTTTTTTTCCTTGATTTTAATTAATGTTTCATCAACCAATTGTCTGGATTTAATAAAGAAGAAGGAAAAGCAGACAATTACTGATAATCAAGGCACGGAGGCACCGATGTGTGAACGTCTGGAGCTCGTCACATACATATATCTACCACAACTGAGTGTAGGCTACAAGTATAGTCTACTCCACAGACCTGAAACATATCTATATTGAAATGTCTATACTTGTAAATAGAACGATTCAAAACGAAAGAAAACGTAATGCTCTCTGCTTATGAAATGAACTGTGGATTTCTCTCTGGCGTATGCACTATGCGAAGATCGCGCAGCATCGTCAACTTCATCTTTAATAAACAATTAAAATGTCTCCTTGCTATATTTGTTCTTTGTGACAGCTTTTTTATTTTCGGCAGCCCCGAAATAGCCTAATGCGCATACATCCATCTCTTTTGTTTGAAATGGAAAAAATATAGCTGCTAAGACCTATCAAAAAAAAAAAAAAAAGGTTAGACTATCAGTTGACTACGGCAAAATCTGACGAATCAGATTCGACTATGAAAATCCTTAGTCGAAAACAGCCCTATTAATGATCAATTAATGGATTAATCGTTAACTAGTATACAATATGCTGCAAGATGGGTCTGCTGCTGCGTGATAGACTGTGCAATGGCATTCAAAAAACACAAGCATCCTCGCCCAGAGGAAAGGTTTGATGTAAATACACAGCTAGATTATAATATGTATCGATGATTGATCATTTAATATAATTATTTAATTATCAAATATTAATATTACGCCATCTCAGATGCGCTCTGTCAATCCGTGATGCGTGTGTCAATGTCAGCAAATTAGTTTTTGTTAATGTAATAAGTGTGTTGTTATCTTCCCACATGTGCTAGGACATTTCCTTAATGTTGTGCATATTGGGGAAAGTCTACAGAATGTGAAAAGGCCACGTTTACTTGTAAATGCCCATAAGGCCTGCTAAGAAGACCTCAGGATTTAGAGTTTCTTTTTCAAATAAAACTTTTATTTTAATATCATTTTCCCAAAACACATTCAACAGTTTGTTACTTGTAAAACAAAGTTACAATACGTATATTTGTGCCCATTTACACTTTAAAGCTAACAAATAATTTAACACATTTTAATTTTTGATTAACTTTCGAAATCCCTCACCTTTGACGACGCTTACAGGCAACAAGTCATTTGAAATCATTTCATAGATTCGTTCTGTAATTGCTTCTGCCTTTTGAGCTCCAACTTTTTTCCCGGCTAAAACTGAAGTAATTGTAGGCTGTGTCGATTGTTCAAATCCTCTTGTCCCGGAGACCGCTGAATGTACTTTCTGTAAGTGATATATCATAGTACTAGTTGTCGTGTTATATTTTAAAACACAATCAAAATGTTTGCAGTTAACATTATCAACATTTGAAATAAAATGATCTCTTGCATGCTCGCTATCATTTTCCCCCTTTCATCTGCTGTACGCACGTCCCGCTTAATCGATCACGGATAAGGTTTATCGATTAAAAGGCTCATTGACAATTAATCGATCGTCAATTAATCGTTGACATCCCTACTCTAGACTCATTCTTCCCACTGCTTTGTTTTCTAGCAACAGTAGATGTATTTAAAGTCCCCGTGAACCGGAAGTTGCAAACGATTTTTCTCCAGTGCTGTGACGTATTTCCAAGTGAAACGGAATATTGAACAGAGGGCAGGGTTTTACTCTAGCGCTCCTCCTCTCCATCTCTCGCTCATAGTAAACTAACGGTTTGAGGGGAGTGGTTAAGCGTTTCCCCACCCAAACTGTGAAACCTACGTCATCAGAAAAAGAAACCGTTCCAGACCGGAAGTAACTTTTCAGATTTTGATTAAAGATTACTAAGGTAAAACATTTTTTTAATATATATTCACTTGCACGGATTAATTGTTCACCACAAGACTAGTAATATGCGCTAACAAAGCAAATAGGTTCAATTTTGATTTCACGGGGACTTTAACAGCAGCATACAAGAAAGAATTTAAATAAACAAATATAAAAAATAAAACACTACATATACTTATTAAATCTACTATTAAAGTTCTCACAAGACTCTTATTTTCACAGCACCCATTCACTGCAGAGGATCCATTGGTGAGTAAATGATGTAATGCTAAATTTCTCAAAATCTGTTACAAATTATGAAACAAACTCATCTACATCTTGGATGGTTTGATGTTGAGTACATTTTCAGCAAGTTTTAATAAATGTTTTACAATTTTAGGAATCAAGCAGGGAGGCAACAACATCAACAAGGAATGACAGTGGAGTCAATCAACAAATCTTGGCCGAGTTAAGAGAGATTAAGAGTGTTCTTGTGGAAACTCTAACACTTTTAAAAAATGGTAAACCTATGAAAAGTTTAATTTTTCTAAGTAATTGCTTCAAAAGATATTAAAACCTATTTTGTTCTAGGATGCACTCCATTAATGACTGCACCTGCCCACACTCTCCCTGCACGCACTTCGGATATGCCAGCCCCAGAGTCTTCCCCTGTGGTACCTGCCCCTTCCTCTCTACTGCCTCTTCATGTAAAGGAGACTAGGAGTAATAATGACTGCAAAAAGGTATCGTTTTTAAGCAACATTCAAAATGCCTTCTTACTAGGGCTGCATGGTTTTGTCAAAAATGTATATTATGATTCAGTGTTTCCCACTGGAGTTTATATATTAAAAGAAGTCAGAATTGTTAGAATGTGTTCGGTTCAGCCTTTTTTCTCTTTCATAGCAAAACCAAAAATGCCATTTACATGAGAGGTGATACAGATTACGGTTTGTAAAATGGACAGAATTATAAATCTGAGACTTTAATGGAACAAAAGTAAACAACATAACAGACCATCAAACTTTTCGGCGACAATCGCCGTTTTCTTGGTCAATTGGGTCATTTACGTGAATCACTAGTTCTTAACTTGCTTTCTTTCAGTTAAGCACACGCTTCACATACATGTCAAAACAGCGGATGTTAACAGGTTAAAGGCATATCAACATGTCATGAACACTACTGAACACTAGGTGGCCGTTTCAGAGTTCCATCTTTTGGACATTCATCATATTGCATTGGTTTTCATTTCTTCTCCTCAAAACAGAGCACTAATCTGTTTATTTTTAAGTTACACATCAAGAAAATCAAATGCGTTTGTAGTATTTTATACAGAAATAAATTATTTATAATTCTGATGAGAATAAAGTTGGGGTTCATCCAATGTTTTTTTTTTAATTAATTTTATTACTTTTTTTCTAGAGATATGCAAATTAGTGCATATTTAAACATAACATTTCAGAAAACTTGTATCACAAAAATGTTTGCAAGTAATGTAATCAATTATTTGGAGAAGTATGTCAACAGAGGGTCTTCGTGCGACGTCACCATCGGCAGGGCCCTATGAAATATGTTTTTATTTTTTACCAAATTCAGATTTTTTACCCTTTATTGTTTTAGTCGTAAAAAGAGTGTCCTTTTAAAGTTAATTATTAAAATGTACTGAGTACTTAAAGGGATAGTTCACTTTGAAATTATTTTTTGATATGTTTTAGCTTACTTCAAGGGCATCCAAGATGTAGGTGTCTTTGTTTCCACAGTATTTTCAGTTTTGACATTTTTCGGTCAAACCGTTCTTGTCTGTCAGTCATGTAATGCAGGTATGGGGGTCCACGTCAAAGAGCATGCACAGAGAAGTCCAGATTAAACATGATTTAATGACTCGTAAATGTAAGTACATATTGAAGGCCTAAGACACGAAACAAGCGTTTTTTGTGAGAAAACGAACAGTATTTATTTAGTTTTTACCTATTGTAACCACAGTCACGTCCAACTGATCTGAATCAGTTGTTCAATATCCAACTGAACCATGTTCAACGTTCCGCTGGTAGTGATTGCTTGTGCATGTACGTCACTCATTGTTTACTCAGAGATTTCGGAAGTTTTACCTTTCACTGTGTGTGAAGATCTAAACATATTTAGATATACAGGAAATCACAATGGAAGATGATTTCGATATATCAAAATATGATTAGTGAAAGGTAAAACTTCCGAGAGAGACGGAGGGAGAGCAGGGAAAAGAAATGCAACTGAAAGAATACACTGTGTTTTAAATAGCGTTAAAATGAACGGAACGCAATAGGCTATGTGGCGGCCAGTGTTGATTCTGTGGCTTAGCAAATTTGTCTATGTGTGGGAAACACTGCATAAAAGTCACGTGCAATTTTGCAAATACGTCCACGATTCCGTGAACGCACAAATGATAGGGCCCTAGATTGACTGTGGTCACACCCACTGAGTGGCAAAAAGCGGCAGCATTGGTTTCTCCTATCTAAATTTTCTATTCACAGCAGGAAAGTGACATCATAGCATTTCCTCTATATCTATGAATCTATCTATCTATCTATCTATCTATATATATATATATATATATATATATATATATTTTTTTTTTTTTTACCCTATTCACCTGGGGTGTCTTATCGTAATTTAGTCCACTCACAGAATGAATTAATCATGGCTGACAAAAAATAGTGCTTTCTACAATCAGGAACTTTTGCTCTTGAATGATTCTAAATCTACGCTAATAGGTTTCATCATAACAAACAAAATATTATTAAGTTCACTTTAACACTTTAACTGTTTCATTGTTCGATCACTGTTTTCAGGTTCGAATTGGCCCCAACACATCCATCGGTGCCGAACAGTTTGGCCACATTAAATGGACCGAAGCTAAAAAAGCAACAAAAGACCTCCTGGTGGCTGTTTTTGGAAGAGCAACACTGGCAACACACTGCTACACAGGAAAAAGTTCTAATGCCTTCAAAGACAAAATAGCAAAGCCACAACTGGAGGCTCAAAAAGTGTCTGACATAATTGGTGAGTTTATTTTCCTGAAAATCAAGTTTTGGCAGGATTGTCATATTATTAGATATATAAAACAACAGGATATAATTATACTCAGGAATTTAGAAAAGTACTTTTTTAGAGCATTATACTTTAGAGCAACAGGGCTCGACACTGCGAGCATTCCACTTGCATTTGCGACTAAAAATAGATCTGCGTGCTGTAATTTTTTTTTCTAGCAAGTCATTTAATACAAATTGTGTGAACAGATAAAACTGCAGTGGCTGTTGCTGACTATTTAAATCTAGCAGTTTGGTAGTGCTGTAGCGGCGCGTCGATGACGTCGATGCTTCGACGTCAAAATTGCGTCGACGTCATGTTTTTGCGTCGATGCTTCTTTATTTATTTTTTGCATGTTCCCGGCGGTCCAGCTTGCCACACACACGTGGAGACCGAAACATTGCGGAATAGAGGACGAAGACAACTAGAAGTGAATGTGCTATCCATTAAATGAATCACACACAGTAAATAAACTCTTAAAAAAAAAAATTTGCAATTTAGACGCGCAAACTGGGTGCCGGTGTGGTGAGACGTACAAGCTCGGGCAGATTCGGCTTGAAGTCGTTCATCCCGGACGCGGCACCTCACGCGCTGTTACAAAAAAGGCGTACACAGCCACAGTCTTCCTGGTCTTGCGCACATTCGCGGTCGTGTGGACGTGTGGAGGAGCCTATAAACAAGGCTTTACTCCGTGTCGGCACGCGCTCTGATCAGTAGGTGCACAAACCTCTCCCGATTCATCTCCATCAGTAGCAGCCTCCGATCGCACCACTAACTCTGCCTCCGTTTCCCTCCTCAGCTGATATTAATATTTAAATAAAAACATTTAACAGTCACTTGTTGCTACTTAGTGGCGAAACAATGTAACCGATAAATGCGTTATTTTAAGCACAAAGTTTCTATCACTATCGTAGACATCGGTGTTCATATTTGAACTTTTTATCCCAGTACTTCTATGATAATTTGAAACTATTGCATCACAGAAATAATGATACTATGACGTTGAAAAGACTGTTTGTGAAGCTGTTTTAATGATGACTCTCTCCTGGTCAGCGCCAACACAGTTTTGAATGTTGTGATATGATTAGATGAATTGAAAGATCAGGTGGGTGTTTGAATCGAGATCACAGTCTTATAAAGATGAATCGTGCAGCTCTACTGTCTTATCTCTCTCTCTGCATATGAGTAGCGCAAGGGCTTTTCAGTGCTTTTAGGCCCCGTTCTGTGTCTAGTGCTTACTCGCCGGCACATAATTGTGTCAAATGTCAGATGTAGATTGACGTCAGAGTCGCATTAAATCCGCCTTTGTTGTTCACACTGCAAACACATTGAAAAAAATCTGATCTGTGTCTGATTTAGGACTACATATGAATGTGGTCTAAATCTGATTTAAAAAGATTAGATCTGGGCCAGATTTGAGTGTTCACACTATCTCTGAAGAAGTCTGACCTGGTCACTTAGCCCAAAAAAAATCAGATTCAAGCCACTTTTGTCTGCAGTGTAAACGGGGCCGTAGTCACACGTCTTCCATGCGTTCACTTATTACGTCACAACACGCATAGATAACAACACATTTCATCCTCTGTTGGATTGAAAGTGGCTAACTTCTTTTAAACTTATCTACAAGCAAGGACAAAAATAAACCAATTGAATTTGAATTAATATCGATTTTAGAATCGTTAAAAAAAACTGCGATAGGTGAATCGATTTTTTTTCTCTCAATTCTAATCCCTAGTATGTAATACTGAAGAATAATATAAGCACATGCTTCCCTTGAGGAGTTCTATTTTAAACATAGATGCCCAAAACCATTCCTCAATAATCATTATGGTTTGTAAACTTATGTTCTGTTTATTTCTTTCCTTACAGGCTACATCAAAAACAAATTTAATATTGAAGCAAATGTAATTAAGAAGGCCATCTCCCAGAAATGCGCAGATGAAAGCAAAATGTCAAAAAGGCGCCACAATGATTCTGTGTGAGTTTGAATCAAACTGATTTGTTCAGGATGTTTAATGCTGTATTTCATAGTAAGTGTGTGTGCGTGCGTGCGAGTTTGTGTGAATCAGACAGATTTGCTCAGGATATTTTTAATGTTGTATTTCAGTTATTGTTGTTTGTGTGTGTGTGTGTGACTGTGTGTGTGTGTGTGTGTGTGTGTGTGTGTGTGTGTGTGTGTGTGTGTGTGTGTGTGTGTGTGTGTGTGTGTGTGTGTGTGTGTTAGAGTTTGTAAGTCTGTAATGAATATAATCTGTAAAAAAGTAACAGATTAATTTGGTATGAAAGTAGAAATAAATAAATAAAATACAGAAAATGCATTTATTGATTTGTTTTTTTATTTCATCAATCCATTATCAGTGCCTTATAAATGTGTGCACTAATAATGTGTACCCAAATCACCTGCCATGTTGTTTATTATGTGACTACAGTTTGCAAAACATACATTAAACAGTGAACAATGTCTACATTGAGGTGAGTTTACGCAGACTGCAAGACACAATCAAAAAACTTCTATTGGTAAAAGAAAAACATTGGAAAAGTGCACCTATAGAACTTAAAAATGCTCGAAAAGATAAAAAGAAAATTCCATATAAACCTGACCCAATTGGATCCCATTAAAATACTGTAGATTTGTCAGTATTAAAATATTGTAGATTTGAAGAATTGTATAAGACAATTTCTATCTGAATCCTATAGGATATTTATGTATAATCCTATAAGACAATTTCTATTTGAATCATATAGGATATTTATGTATAGTCCTATAAGACAATTTCTTTTTGAATCCTATAGGATATTTATGTATAGTCCTATAAGACAATTTCTATCAGAATCCTATAGGAATGGTTCCAAAATATGATAGAAATTCTAATTAGAATCCTGTACAATTTTCTTATTGGAATCCTTTAGGATTCTTTGACAAGGGCAGTCAGCGTTTTTAGTTGGAATTCTGTGAAACATGGTATTACCTCCCCTGTTTACTGTCGCAGCTATTTACAATAGAGCGAAAACCCATGACTCTAAACTACGCTTTTACTATTTATAAATTGCTGACTCTATTACCCAAACACCGAGCGAACTCTCCGCTCCTCACCACGGCGTGTCTCCGGTGATGCGGTTATTACGCCGTCAAAGTAGCAGTGCTTCGCCTTCAGAGAATAGTTCCCAGGTTTTATACGGTTAAAAGATGTCTGTGTCTCATTTGACTTTGTTATTTGTACATTATGTGACTATACAAATCACAACATGTAAATAGGAAAAAGTTTGCGTTATTTTGCCACTCATTTGGATCAGTATGAAAGCTGCAACCAGTCACATCGAGTCTTTGTGCTAAGCTAGGCTAGCGGTGGGTGCGTCAAACAGACTTATAGCACGCACGGAGATGAAAAAGGTATGTATGGACTTATCTAACTCTGGGGGGTAAGGTGAATAGGCTAAAGTCCCAAAAAGTCGGAGTGTTCCTTTAAAGCTTTTACAAGAATTTACTTGATAATCTTTTTAAATCATATTTACAGGGTCCAAGTGGTCTGGAACGGGGTTGAACTTCAAAACAACATTCAGTAAGAAAAAACACTCATTATTGATCAGAATTTCGGTAACACTTTATTTCGATAGTCCACACATTCTACTAACCATAAGTAACTTTTCAACTACATGTTAACTAACTATCATTGGAGTATTAGTAGACTGTCAGCTTAATATCTGCTAACACTTTATTTTGTTGGTCGCCCAACAGACATTCAACTGACTATAAGTAACTTGTCGACTACAAATTAAATTTATTCTCCTAACCCAAAGCCTAACACCTAACCATAACCTAACAGTCTACTGACAGTCTACTATAATATACTAATACTCTTATGAGAGTTACTTGACATGTAGTTGAAAAGTTACTTATAATTAGTAGAATTAGTAGAAGTGACTATCGAAATAAAGTGTAACTGAAATGTAACTATTTGAGGTATATATATATTTGAAAAAAAGGTAAGATCAAAAGGCACCCATATCAGAGAATCACCCAGCTGCAGACTGGATGTTCTTCCTACTCCTCTTTTAAAGATGTTTTTCCTATTGTGAGACAGCTTTAATTAACAGCTCCTTGATGAGTGGAGTAGTTCCTAAGAGTTTCAAGCATGCACTTCTTCATCCTTTGTTTAAAAAACCTAACTCGGATCATGCAGTATATACCCAGCAAACAGGGGACGTCCTCCGGACGTTGCGAACGTCTGATTAGGTCCGGATCTGGTCCGGTTCATAACGTTCGCTGGGGGACGTTCGGAGGACGTCCGCATTTGGTCCGGTTTATAACGTTCGCTGGGGGACATTCCGAGGACGTCCGCATTTGGTCCGGTTCATAACGTTCGCTGGGGGACATTCCGAGGACGTCCGCATTTGGTCCGGTTCATAACGTTCGCTGGGGGACGTTCGGAGGACGTCCGCATTTGGTCCGGTTTATAACGTTCGCTGGGGGACGTTCGGAGGACGTCCGCATTTGGTCCGGTTTATAACGTTCGCTGGGGGACGTTCGGAGGACGTCCGCATTTGGTCCGGTTTATAAAATTCGTTGGGGGACATTCGTAGTACCCCAGAGTGCACTCTGGACGATGGGGCGGGGCGACACTTTTGGGCGGAGCGACACGTGTCGCCCCGCCCACCTTAACGTTTATTGGTTTATAATAAAGATGATCTTATTGGTGCAGAGAAGTGTGACGCTATTACAGATTATTGGTGCAGAGAAGTGTGACGCTTTGGGCCGGCTGGGAATGCGGAAGAACACAACAGACGAATAAACTTGTTGATTTTGCGGCCATTAAATGCGATTCCACAATATCCCATTGAAGTAGAAATACAAAGAGAATAGAAATAATGGTCTAATTCACAATCACTCCCTCAACAGCTTTAGATGGTCCGTTACCTCTGCATTACTCACTGTTTTTTTGTAAGTTACATCTCGCTCTCTCTCTCTCTCTCTCTATAGATAGATAGAGAGAGAGAGAGCAAACTGTAGCGGACATGTCACCAGTCTCACCTGATAGTAACCACGAGTTTCCGTAAGATCCTACGAACATTTTTTTTTTAAACTACGTTTACGGCTGTTAAACTTCACTGATCATAGCTCCAAAAAGCCATGGTAATCACAAATTAACTATGGTAATTATAGTATTTGTGCGTTTACATAAATGTAATCAATAACTACGGTTGTACTTATAAACTTATAAGGGAGTATCTATACATGCTCTGCTCTTAAGAACACAACAAAACAAAGACTTTGTCACTTTTTCTTTATTATAGACTCCAAACTGCACTTATACATCAGCAGAATGTAATTTATGCAAACCTTAAAGAACGAAGGTACTTTACCATATGCACAATTAGTGAAACCTATGTTTTTGCCATAGCTTTTCAATAGAACACTATACAGGTGAAACTCGAAAAAAAATTATATCGTGCAAAAGTTATAATTTTGATGAACACCAAAATGCAAGCCCTCTGAAAAGTATATATAACTGAAAAGTATATATAATCATGCCATATGCATGTATAGTTATTTATACTAAATATATTAAGTTTCACCTTTTAATTTTTTTAATTACTGAACATGAACTTTTGCACAATATTCTAATTTTTCAAGTTTGACCTTTAAGTTTAACTTTTAGTTGCATCAATTACTACATCAAAACCAGTTCATCTCTCAATTCCCTTCTACAAGTTTTGAGTTTTACAGAAATTCATTTCCTGCAGCAAAAAAAAACAGTCCTGCGAGCAAAATCCTGTACAAAGATCTTCGGAGTAAAAGCCCAGCAGTTCCCCTCGTTTTCCTCTTCCCCTGTACCCTGGTGGATAGGACTTGAAAAGCTCCAAGCATTCTGAGCATTCCCTGAAGCTGTAGATCCGGCGGAACTCATCACGGTAGTCCGGAGAAATTTTTTCCAGTTGACCACACCTTAAAATGTAAAGACAAAATACAGAAAAGGTATAAGTGTGTAGATTCAAGTTTAAATGTCACATAGCACAAATTTCAATCCAAGAAATATGCATTGAACAGAAAAAAACATCTTACTGTTCAGCCAGGCAAAGTGTGCTGCTTTCCGGAAAAATTCATCTGTGACCACATCCCTAAACCATCTGCATACCAGTGAAAGCGTCAAATATGCAGAATCACCAGTTGCTATTATTTCATGGGGAAGCTGTTGAAACAAAAAAACATTGTTATTTATACTTGTATATAAATGTTGTTGAAAAAAATATAAACCTTGGTTCAGACAAACCTGATATATTGTTGTCATAACTGCATGCTCTGAATAAAATAATAAATAGATTAATATTCTCTTATAACGATAATATTAAAATAAATATCGCTCCAACACACATTAGCTGCTTTCCCCACTGTCGGGCCAGTGTGAGCCAGGGCTTTCAAGGGTCGGGCGGTGTTAATAGCCTTGGACCTGTAGCACCAAGCACAAAATCACACGGTGTTTCCACCGTTAGGAGAGAAGCTCTGCAGCGCTTCACTAAAGCCCTCCCTTAACATGCCTGTCTTGAACAATGACAAATAACTCCATTGTTTCACCAACAAATGGAAGTTTTACCATAAAACTATTCAAAGAAATTGCTTAATGAATGTATGTGCACAATAAATGACCTGAATCTCTCCGAAGACATTGCCTTTTGTAACGGTTGAGTGCCAAGAAAAACAAATGACAAGAGGTAGGCATGTACATTGGTAGATGTAGTACATAAACTAAAGTTTAATGTAGGAACATGCAAACATGCATTTGCAGAGTGAAGTTGTCCAGTATGAGAGCACACCACCACCTCCTGATCAGGGGCATGTCATCCTGAATTTTTTTTAAATAATAATAATCAACAATTATGCATGTCTGTTTATTTAACGTGAAATATGTAATGAGGTAATGACATAACTCTGTAAAATCAAATCAGAGCCCCAAAGCCATGTATAGAGTGTACTGTTACAATTCACAAAGTGCAAGAAAATGAGCAGGGTATAACTTACAATAATTAACTACAATAACAATTAAAATTTAACCTACCATCAGTATGTAACAACATGTTTAAAGTTCAGTCTTTACTACTGCACTTTAATGTGACTAATGTTTTAAGATCACTGTGCATACTAACTTTT